CAGCCTTCACAGAACTTTCTCAATTGTTTTTCCATGGAAGCTTTAAAGGCCAAGAATAGCAGATCTATCCACCCCAATGGCAGCACTCATTTCCTCAGTGCTCATGGCTGTATTCCCCTGAGAACAAGGTGGGGTTCCATGACAGGTTTCTCCTGCTTCCTCTTCTCTGCCTCCAGCTTGCCCGTGGTGGCCTGTAAGCCTGCTTGAAGCCATGTCTCTGCTGCCTGGGTGCAGATAGGACTCTGGCAGTAGAATACTTTTAGTTCCAGACCCTTTGTTTGTTGCCATTTAATTTTTGTTTGCAATGCCCCATGGTGGTTGATTTGTAGAGAAGAAAATATGCATTTTTACATGCCAGGATATTGTAATATTTAATAATGTTTTGATACTATTATCACAATAATAATCCCTGGGGTGAGGGGAGTAGCAGTGTGTTGGAAAGTGCTAGAAAAGAAGACCGAGCCTGACTCTGAATTTGAGAACACAGTGTAAAACACTTGTGGGGGACAACTAAAGAGTCCTTTATCGTTGTTTTCTTTACAAAGACTGCTATTAATAAGAGCACATTGTTTAAGTGGCAGTTGTAATAAAGGAGGGCTTCCCAGGTGCCTCAGATGGTAAAGAATCTGCCTGCAATGCAGGAGACCGGGGTTTGATCCCTAGGTCGGGAAGATCCCCTAGAGAAGGGAATGGCACCCACTCCAGAACTCTTGCCTGGAGGATTCCATGGACAGAGGAGCCTGGTGGGCTACAGTCCATGGGGTTGCAAAGAGTTGGACATGACTGCGCAACAAACACTTTATTATAAAGTGTTTGTAATAAAGGAATGCTGAGGAAAAACCTGAGAACTTGATTCTGTATGACTGATAACAGCCTCCAGGACAGGTACCAAGTAAATGTTGACTTCTAAATTTCCAGAGGCAAAACCTGAGGGCTTCAAAAATCATTAACAGAAGAAAATATGTTTGCAAGCATACTAAAGAGTTTTTATAGGGAAAAGAGGTGAGTGGAAAATGGAATCACGGAGGGAAAGTTTCAGGGGTCAGAATTCTTTGGCTGACAGATTTCTGATGGTCAGTGTTCTGCCTTGAACTGTGCTTTAACAACAACAACAAAAATTATCTATTTATTTATTTGGCTGTGCCATGTCTTAGCTGTGGCTTGTGGGATCTTTAGTTGAGGTATATGGGATCTAGTTCCCTAACCAGGGATCAAACCCAGGCCCCCTGCATTAGAAGCATGGAGACTTAGCCACTGGACTACCAGGGAAGTTCCTAGAACTGTGCTTTTAAAGCAATGGGTAATACGTCTGCTGCTAGATGGGGACAAGCAGATTTGCAGTGGTGGGATAGATATTGGCTAGGAGAAACTTTGAAATGGTGAGAAATGGCTTTAATGCCGTAAATATGGTAACAGTGGCAGCTAAGTGGCTTCCTGGAGTACCAAGGAAATGGTAAAAAATAAAGATGCATGCCTAAGATTGTTTCCATGATACCTCTAGTGCAAGCTGGACCAAAGAGACTTCTATCTTTCCAGTTTCCGAGCTCATTGATCTCCCAAGTGTTTGCTTCCAATGGAAAATGCTAACTTTATTGTAGGTTCCAACTCTTTTTCTAAAGCCCTTAATTGCAATGGCATGTTTATTCATTTCAGCAAGTACTTACTCAAAGTGCTAGCACTCTTGGCTCAAAATACTGACTTGCATCATGTTTTTCAGACGTCTGCTGACTATTCACAATGACTGGGCCAACACTCCGTGGTTGTGTCAAATCCTCCTCGAAGCCATCCACATTTGGCAGCCTTGGGGGCTATAAATGCTGAGTCTCTGGTTCCACCAGTTTAATTGTTTCCCAAGCTAGGAGCTTAATAAGAACTGATAGTATATGAGGTAGATAGAATAGAGAGACGGAATTTGTCCCCATATTCTCTTCTGGAAGTTTCTTTATCCTCAGCACTGCTCTGGGAGTTTGAAAAGATGCCCAATAGTTCTGCCAACATTCAGGGACTGTCCAGTTCCAATCACTCCCTGAGCCTCAGTTTCTTCACATAAAATGAGGGGAATGTTTGCTTTCCAAGGTTCCATTCAGAAAGCTCTCCCAAGAGGGGAAAGAGGCCTGTCCCCCCCAAAATGGTATTTCCCCCTTTGGTCACCCACATCCCAAGGCATCTGTGACTTCTGCACCTCAGTTCTGTCCACAATGTCTCTTTGTCTTAATTTTATAGGCATGCTCAGGGCTCCATTGTACAATCCAGCAGGGATTCTTTTCATCACTCTTTTCCATAAAAAGTTTTCAGCTCTAGCTTCCTTACCATATTTTTTTTCCCTTCACCTCTTTTGTCCTCAATACCTAATGATAAACTTTATCCCTAAAAACACTCCTGAGAACTGCCCAGAAGTGCCTGGACCATATAACACTTGGCTGAGCACTCATAGACACATCAACATTAGAGGAACAGCAGCAACAACATAACGTGTCTGATATTCTGAAATGTTTTTGTCAAATTATGTGTCTTTCAACAGGACTGAAATTAAAAATTGGATTATCAAATGACTTGAAAATGGAATGGCATACACCTTGAGAAGTGGGATTAGGTGGGTGAAAATGGGGGTAAGGGAGTGTTTGTTGATCTATAGCAAACATTTTTATAAAATGTTCTCAGCCTCATGATGATGCACCCAGTAGACTGATGAAGAGTAGAAATAGGCAAAAGAGGTTCTCGCTGGGGTCTTCTTGGTTATAAAAGAGGAGAGGCCCATGGAAACCCTCTGTATTTGTGAGGACAGCACCATTGAAAGCAATTAGTATCCTTCTACCAAAAATTCCCTGGTGCCATGCTCAGAGACCAAATTTTACAAGCAGGAAGACGGTTCCCATCTTGCGATTTTGAGACCAGGCTCCACCATCACTAGCTGAGTGGCCTTGTTTTGAGAAAATCCTCAAACCTCCCGTCTCCCACTCTGTAAAATGCAGCTAACGCCCTTTGCCTTCCAGACTTGGGAGAATCCCACGGAGGATTTTATATGTAAAAGTACTATGTGGAGGCAAAAGTAAATTTCAGATTTTAATACTTCTTCCTTTTATGCCTTTTCCCCAGTCTGGAATATAGCTAGAACTTTGAGGTCCTCTTGAAAGGACCTTCAGCAATCTTCAGTTGCCAAATAAACAGCTGAAAAGGCCTGATCTTTCAGTGTTATGTTGTTAAATGAAAATTTTAAAAGTGATAATTTTAGTTAGGGTGAAAAAGGTGATCCACCAGCAGGAGAAAGCTACATTGTTTAGACTTTTGCTTTCTACATTTTGTTCTTGCTGTGCTTTTTCCGCTCAGAGCAGGGCCCAAGGGATAATTAATCTCAAGCAAGCTGAGAGATCTTTAGTAAGCAAAATCCTCCTACAGGTTAGCAGTAATGGGGGATATAGTGCATGAAAATAAAGCATTTTGTAGACCTTTGGAGGCAGAGCCCTGATAACACTTCATAAATTCCTTCCGTTGAATTAGCAGCATTGGGACCTCTGTTCTGGATTTGGGGGTTCTTTCCCCAGCAGGCATGAATTTGAATTTACAATTCCTCTGCTCTTCAGGGCCTGCGCTGATTTAACCAAGCCTGAAGGTCGCTGGAGGAGGCACCAGTCCTGAACAATGCATTCTTGGGCAAGAGGAAAGAAACGGTTTCTTCTAAAAAGAACAAGACTTACTCTAATGGCCTAACTGCTAACACAGTTGCTAGTTTTTTCCCCCTTCGATTTTCTTTCTTCCTTCCCTTCTTCCCAGTTTCTTTCAAGGCTTCACCTCTTTATTTTTTCACGTTAAATTAATAGTTGAAATTAACAGCGCCAGTTTTAACTTGCTTAGGAAGTTAATGTTTTCCCTGTTTGTTGTCAGAATTCCCAGAGACACGGAGTGACTCTCTCCTGCAAACCTTGTGCTTTCCCAGAGCATGCCTGACTTCCTGAAAACATTGTTAATAATACCTTGCTTTTTAACTGCAGGAAACCTTCAGCCATTGCAGCCTCTGCAGAAGCTGTAATGGGAGGCAAGCCACACAGCGCAGCCAGGCCAGGGCCCTCCGGGGGGTTTCTGGGCTCCTCACCACACTCCAGGCCCAGATCCCTCAGAGAACCAGAGGCTGAGCTGAGAGCGGCCCTGCTGTGCCAGTGGGAGGCCAGGAGACAGGCCCTCAGACATCTTACCCTCCGCGGAGTCTTTTGCCAAAGATATGCATTTCCTTAGGTTTCAGGTGTTCCTCCCCTGCCAAAGTGAATCCCCAAAACAAGACAGTTTATATTCACAGAACAACATGAATGAATTAATCGCAGGCGCTCTGGATTATCATTTGGGGGTGTTGAAGCAAAGGAGGCGGAGGGTGCTTGGGACCTCTGTCAACGCCAACCCAGGCCCTGTGGGATATAGATAACAGGGATCCCAAGACCATAGGAGGCATTCGTGAGAGCACCGAGAGGCTGGCCCCAGAGCCTGGCCGGGAAGGCCATCCGCAGGTAGGCGCGGGGCCTGGGGTCTGCAGGGACGCGCATTCCCTTCTGCAAGCGCTGGCTACAGTCTCTCCGGACTCCCCACCTCAACCTGGTGTTTCCTTTAGTCCCAGAGAAGCTCCCTGATGCCCAGAAAGGCCCCTCCGCGCGACGATTCTGTCCCGGGTCCGCGGAGATTCGGGAGCCCAGTTTCACAGACATCCCCGCACCCACTGCGGACCTTGCGCGCTCTCCAAAGTGGGCTGGTCACGCAGGGCGGAGGGAGGAGGAGGAGGGACGCGGGAGCCGCACGGCCGCCGAACCCCCGCAGCCCAGCCAGCCAGGGCGCCCCGCGGAGGCGCGGTCTCGGCCTCCCGGGACGTGCGCACGCGAGCCCCAGGCCCCGGCGCCCTGCTGCCTGGAGCCCTGGCCGGTCGCAGCCGGCACGGCCCCGGCCTGGGGGTGGGGTTGGGGCGGGAGGCGGAGCCAGGGCCCGTGGACGGTATCAGGTTGCTCCGGTAACGGTGACGTGAGTGGGCGGAGCTAGATGCAGGTTGCATATTTTAGGAAGTGTGGAGGAGGCGCAGGCTTGAGCTGCGGCGGGGTCTGGGGCTCAGAACAGCGGCGGGAGGAGGAGGACACGTGGCAGCAGCAGCAGTAGCAGCCCCGGCGGCGGCGGCGGCAGAAGGCATCGGCCCGAGCCGCCTGCCGTCTTCCCTCCTTCCCGCCTCGCGGCAGCCCTAGCTCCTTCCTCTTCGCTCCCCCGGCCGCGCTTGCTCGGCCGGGAGCCGCTTTCTTCTTTCTCTCATTTTCTGAACGGAAGGACCCGGCGCGGGGCGCAGACCATCGCCGCTATGGGGAAGGGGGTGAGTTTCGGGCGAGCCAGGGGAGGGGCGCGAGGAGCCCTGGCCGGGAGGCGGAGGAAGGGGAGGAAGTCTGGAGGGCGACCGCAGCCGCGGGAGGCGGAGGAGGAAGCGGCGGGGCGCGGAATGGGTTGGCAGAGCGGCGAGGCTTAAAAGGCGACGCACTTTGGAAATGGAGGGAGTGCGGTAATAAGGGGCGGACGTGGGAAGGGAGCGCCGAGGGGCTGGAGCGCGGCAGCGCCGGGCGGTGCGCAGACCCTAGAGAGGGTCTGCGGGCCCCCGAGACCGAGCGCTCCCGGGCTCCTGGAGGCGGCGCTCGGGAGCCGCCGGCCCGGGAGGAGGAGGAGGGAGCACGGCGGCCGGGCGGCCCTGGACAGGAGCGGGCCGCCGGCGGCATCCCCAACCCGCTCCTTTCCTCCCTCCTTCCGCCCGCCCTCACCTTCCGTCTCTCGCCTTCCTTTCTCCCTCCGCCCTTCTCGCCGGGAGGAAAGACGTGCTCCTCCCCTTCCCCTGTGGGCGCTCTGCCCGGCCCCTTCCCGGGCTGCGGTTCCCGCCGCGGCTCCGGCCCGGGCCCTGGGGGGCTTGGGATGCGGGGCCGGCCTTGGGGTCCCTAGGCTTCTTCTGGAGGCTCCAGGGTCTATCCAGTTGCCCGCAGAGGGGGAACTGGGGGAAAAAAATTGGCTTCCCTTTAGTGTGGAGCCGGTCGGGCGGGCTGGTGCCAGAAAGGGTGTGCCTTCGCTCTAGGATGGCCTTGAAGGTATACTTTTGAGAGCTTTGATGGGCCACTTTCCATAAACACGGGATGCACTCGGGGCAGCCTGAGCAACAGGAGTGGTCATCTTGATGGTGGGGAGGGTGAATGTTGATTTTTCTTTTTTTTTTTTTGGAAGAGTGAGCCTGGAAGGAGCACAGGCTGATCCACCAGTGTCTCCGGGTAGTATAAATACGAAAAAAGGAAGGGAAGTGAGGACAGTACAGGTTAGGAGTGTCTACGCACGGAAGAGAGATTCTAGAAGGAACGAATCTCCTCCTCCCCGGGCAGGAGAGGCGAGCACTGTGGGAATACCAGAACGACGGCTGGTTCCTGCATTTTTGTAACTCAGACAGTTAATCTATAGGCCCGAGGCCAAAGTCCAGTCGAGAAAAGTTTATACAAAATGACGATCAGAAGTATCAATTGATGGGATAAAATGACCAGGTCGTGAGAATACTGGTAGGAGAGAATCCCCTCCATTGTGTCCAGGGTTTGCACGCTGTCCGGCGCTTAGTAGGACTGTGAAGGGTCGGCTCCTCCGAGTGGAATGAGTGATGGAGGAAGAGGGAGGGTTCTTGCTTTAGGGAGTCTAAATGGATTTTGAAGGAGGTCATTGAAAGGTTTGGACCTGGTGGAGAAAGGAAGGAGAAGTGGGAATGCACAACTTGAATCTTTTAAAAGCACAAAATGTGGAGGGCTGCTGCCTCAGGTCAAGTAGCTGAAGAGAACCGGGGTGCAGACTGGGTTAGTGGCCTGTGCTTGCACACACCATCAAACCCTAGGTCTTTCCAGTAAACAGGCTGTTAAAAGCTCATTTCTTGGTCTCTTCTTCCTCCGAAAAATGGTTGATTTCTTGAGCCACACATTACTGATTGCAGGAGTGTAGAGCCCCGTAGATATGTACCCGAGCTTGGCCTAGGAAGGTGAAGGGATTTGCTCAAGGTCAAATGGTTGGTTCGTGGCACACCAGAGGTCCCTGATTCGTGAGCAGCCCGTAGTGTCCAAGCCTAAATACTCACTCACTCACTCTTTAACAGTGACTTACATGCAGAACTCTATATATATAAAGTTATTTTTCAGATGAAACTGGGATGTTTGTTATGTTGGATTAGTGAAAGATGTTTGAGTAAATTATGTCCATAGACCTGTATGTCCCTTGGGTAACCCACACATTTATTAGCACAGTAGTGGTAAAGATAACAGTGTACCTGGGCTGTGGAGGTTCAACCTCGATGTCTTATGGATTCTAATGTCTAGTGGCTAGCAGACCCAAAGTTGGAATTGTATGTAACTGGTTAACACAGGCAGATACGCTGCTTATCTGCTGGGTTGTCATTAGTATTTTGAGTACTCTGATGAAGTGATCATTAGGGAGGGTATCTGTGTGTGTGTGTGTTCTGGTGGTGGTGGTGGTGGTAATTCTCCTGGGATAAAACAACTGCTTTTGTCCCTAGTGACTTACTCTGATAGTCCAAATGTTCAGAAGGATATTTTATGCTGAAATGTTGGGATTTTTCCACATGGGGATTAAAATGTGGGTGGAGTGGTGACTAAAGCCCTGCTGATAATTGGTTAACCAGGAAGCCTGTGCTGGCAGCTAATTTTTAAGGTCATTGTTCATTTCTTCCCCTCCTCTTCCCACTACTGTTGGGGGCCCAGGTTTTGACTGTATTTCAGGTGATTTTAGTTCTCCTTAAAAACGATCTCTCCTAAGCTTTGGGGAATGAAATGAAAGAACCAGCTCCTGCTGAATCATTCCTGGATGAAATAGGATTTTGTCCTTTTTTTTTTTTTTTTTTTTCATACTGGCTGCTTTTGCCAGTGACTTGGCTTAAATCTGCAGCTCGGCCTACCACCCACAATTCTTTAGCAAACCAAAGATATGCAAGAAACTTTCTTTTTTCTCAAGTTTACAGAAGACCAGGGTGGGGAGGAAGGATGTCACCAGGCCTTTCACCGCAGTTCTCCATTGTTAGAACATTGACTTAGTTACCTAGGAAAGAAACCACAGCTTACAGCTTCTGGGTAGGGATGTAAAGAGGAGCTGGGGAAAAGGTGCAGGTGGAGGTTACACAAGGTATACACATGTCAGCAGAAATCCTGGTTGCAGGGTAACACTATCAGCAGCCCTTTTGGAGCTCAGCTTGAAAGCGACTGAATCTCCTATGGCTGCTGTGAAGTCAGTACTTTGGATTGAAAACATCATAAGACAGAGTTCTCAGAATGGAAAGTTGCCTGGGCCCAGCCCAAGCAAGTGGCATGGTTAAGAGCAAGTGGAGTGGTTACGGGAGGAACTGGTGACTGGCCCTGGGGACAGAGAAGAAGTTTGGGAGTTGCATCACACCCTTTGCCTGTCAAGTGCTCAGTGTCCATGAGTGTGATTTTTTTTTTATGAGAGTGTGTTCTCTTTGGGTAACTTACCCTTGGTTAATTTGTAGTTTTCTCTGCCAGTAAGTTTGTAACACTGGTGACTCACCTTTGGGTGGGAGGGTAGGAAAGGGGAAGGTCTGCATCATAAATCTGAGAAGATTGAGAGCCTGACAAGCACCCCCTCCCCCAAAAGGAGGGGGAGGAATTTTTTAAAAACCTAGTAAGATGTTTAGGCAGGTGAAGAGTAAAACTTAAAATATCCAGCCCCCACCCGCTGCCCAAGTGTTATTCTTAAATTGCATTTTAAAAAGAAAAAAGTGGATTCAACATTACAAAGATCCATTCTCCACACCAGAACCCTTTTAGAGCATTGTTTCCTGGCTATTTTAGCAACAAATGAATAGATTTGTGACTTTCTGTTCCTTCAGGCTGTATTCTTTCACATAGTATATCCAAATTTAAGAATGACAGGGGCTTTAAAGATAATTTTCTTGAAAGGAGTTTGTGTGGAAAAGTAAAAACTAGTTTATTTAAAACAACAAAAAAAAGGTTTTTAAAGCCCCAAAGCGTCAGTTTCTCATCTCACCCTTAGCTAGAGTACTCACCCAAGTGCCATCACCTCTGTTGCGTTTAGAGTGCAGGGCAAGTGAGAGTGGCTTTGTTGATTATTGTTGGGCTTTTGGCATTGAGAGATCAAACATGTATCAAGTATGGGTTTGTGCTGTTCACCAGTTCGTCTTAAGCCTTTTCAAAACTAGAAAACAGTTTTTCTTTCACCTGGGGAAAAAAAAAATACTGAGGGTTGGAAAGAATGGAAAATATCATGAATTACCCTCCCCAGGGAAGCCGAGTGAAAGTGTTCCGTGGGCTCGGCTGGGATGGTGGCTTTTTAAGTTCTCATCTACTTTCACTTTCCAAGTAAAAGGCTTTACATTTTTAGAGTCTTGGTCAAGGTCATTTGAAATAAAATGGGCTTTTCAGCCCTCTGTGAGGGGTGGGAGGACGAACATTTGTGCTGTGGTGCCTCCTCCTAGCTGCCCAGGGCCCTCTGCCAGCCAGCAGGCCAGAAGAAGAAACACGAGTGTCAGATCAGATGGCCTCACAGTAATCAGAGTGGCTGCTTTTGGCCAGCACAACATTGGGCAGAGTGTTTCCCCATCCCTGCCAGAGCTGTCCAATTCTGGATTCCGCTGAAATTACATGTCCAGTAAGTGATAATGTGAAGGACAGAGACTTTTAAAATCCACTATTTTCTTAAACTCATCTTCGTTTATGTATTTTTGGAAAAGGAGACGTAACCAAATCAGGCTTGAACTTTTCTCACGTTGCTATGAATCGAGTGTGTGTGTGAGAGGAAGTGTGTTCTTTGGCTGGAGTCGAAGAGAGACTGTTCCTCTGCCTATGAGTCACCTCCTTAGTTGTGCTTAAATCTGTCATCAGGAATCCACAAGAAGTTCTTCATTTCTTTGACTGATGTTTGAGACAGCAGATTCTGTCAGAATGGAAGCACCCCACTCCACCCCCCAACCCACCCTGCAGTGTTTCTGGTTTCATATGGACCCTGAGCCAAGGGAATTTTGGCCAGTAGACCTCATTCCTTAGTTCCATTGTGACTTTACAGTGATATATCTGAATGTTAATTAGTTCTGTATCTGGTTTTATTCAAACCCTATTTAGTAACAGCTATTAGATTTTTTTTCTGTTGGTGATCTGAAAAGTGGATCCTTGATGCTTGTGCTTTGGTCTTTGGGACCTGCATTGTTTTCGGTGTTCAGGTTTCGTGGATCGGGGACTTAGTTTATCTTTGCCGTTTGTCAGCATGATGAGGGCAGCGCCTCATGCCCCTTGGGGTGTTATCCTCTTGTGTTTTTCTTTATCC